AAATAGACCAAGCCCCTAGTTGGAGAAAAGGATGCGCACCTAACAAATGTCAACAAAAATAATGGCAAGATTGCCAATGATGAGTACAAGTAGGATGGTTATCATCTCCAGGCAAGTTTCCATAGCAGATTTCTTCCTGGTTTCTTGCTTGCTTGCTTTCATACATTTAATGTCCAATGCTTAACATGACAAGCTAACTATGGCACATCTTCAAGATTGTACAAGCATCAGGAAAAAAAAATAGTAATTCAGGGATGTTCACTGGACTTGCAATTACTTTGCAAAATGTGTATGCAAACAAACTGGAATGAGACCCTCAGCACGAAAGCTGTTGGCAGGGCAGGATTATAGTAGATGTGCCCAATTGTCTGTTCTAACTGGGCGTCACTAACATCACCCTCTTCTAAGGTCTTCTCCACAGCTCAGAGAAGGAACTGGAAGCTACATTTCCCAAAATCCTCTTGGTACATGATTCTAGGTTAGATTGGCCAAAGAGAGACACTGGAGTAGGATTCGGAAATCTGAGAGAAGAAGGGGTAGGGCAATGGGTAGAAAGTCATAATGTTTGAAGCAGTTACCAAGTGAACTTGAGAATCACCCCCCATCAGTGCTGCAGACTGAGAAAGTCAGTAAGAGATTCCCAGGTGTTCCTGAGACACACAGAAACTTTTCATCAAGCTCCTAAGAACCACCTACCTTGGGGCTGAGGCTGAGACTTGGGAGGCAGCTTCACTGATTGTGTAAGCCTTCTATTTAGTGTGTCTTCTATTTTCACTGTCTGAATTTAGACTGATATCATAACATTTTCCCCTTTGGTTTTTCAAACTTTCTCTGCTCCAGGATTTGTAGATCTGTAATCTAAAATAAATGTGGGGGGAGGGGAGTAACACAGACAACTCTTTTGACAGAAATAAGCAAGGACTCTGTACTTCACCACAGCCTTTTCACAGGCTCTGGAAATTCGCCCTAGGTAGTGGGCATTTCCAGACCATGCCCCTTGCTGCACTTTCTCTCCTCTTTCCTCCAGCACAAGGCCACAGTTAGTCCTACCTGAACTTGCTTCATAGGTCCTGTATGAAGGACAAAGGTCAGTGGTGGCCTGGGAATCAAGGACAAAGAGCTTTGACTATTTTTTCCTTGCCTCTGTTGCTGAGTGACTCAGTCTCCCCAGTAATCCTTGGTGCCTTTCTCTGTTAAATGAGAATAATAATATCTACCCTCCCCACTTTATAGGGTTGTCTTGAGAATAATTTGGTCTATATTCTAAATACAAATGTTTCCCCCAAAAGACACAATGGTCAATATAAATGCAAATTATACTTCTAACAGCTACCAGATAAAGAATTGCAATAGATGGCATGCAGGAGTATGTCCTGTGCATAGAGCATATTTAAGGACATTTCGCCAGCAAATATTTCAACGTTCCTCATAACATGGATATCCACTGAGAATACAGTATGTAGATTGCTACTAGGTAGAAACTGAGATCACTGACACAGCCCCATGTCCCCCGTACTCAGAAGACATGCTCAGACCTAGGGCAGAACTCTCAGAGAGATTTCAAGTGGATCATTGTAAAACCATGTGTATACCACAACCTACATCTTACTGAGAGTCTTGTCCCTTCTTTGAGAACCTCTGTTCTAATAAAATAATTCCATTAGTTGCTTCAATTCACCCTATTCCCTTCCTACCATCAAACCTCAAAGTTTGAAAACTATGACACTATAAAGTAATTATCTACTTAAAAGTTATGCAATGTGGCTAAATGCCGTTCAGCCATGAATCAAGAGACTCAACTCCCACCCAGATGATTTGTGTTTCTGAAAGCAAGAGTGGAGTTATGAGGTCCACAAGGCTGGCCTTTCCCTTCAGTGTGTGCTTACCCCCAAAGGAAGATGGGTATCCTTTCTTAGATGCAATCAAGTTACCTCGCAGAGGTATCTAAGTTACTGGCTTTCCCCTGGGTTTCTATCAGTCATCATTTACTGAATAAATACTTATTGAGCTCTGATTAAATAGGAGGCCCTGTGCCAGGCACTGCAGATTCAGTGGTGAGCAAACACACACAATCTCCTCCAGTCCCCCAAAGAGCTTAGCCTATCTAGAAGATAGTATCTGAATAGGGAAAATGACCTAATATGAATGTGTAGGGTGGGATCAGAGGAGTCCTCCTTGGAGCTGTGATATTTAAGCTGATATCTGAAGAATGAGTAGGAGTCAGTGATATGAAAGAAAAGAGGATTACACTCTTTACTGCTCCTTAGGGAACTTTCATTTATGAGGAATTTAAAACGTACCTACCTGACCTCTATCAAACAAAGCAGAATATGAACACTTGCACTAAGGAGATAGAAACAAATATTATAAGTACCTCAAGAAAGGGAAAAATCAATACACATAAGATCAGAAAAAATTTCTTGCCAGAAGCAAAAGTACTGTGCATTACTATCCTTAAAATTTATGGATTATCTGTAAGTTACAGATGGAAAAATAGAGTCCCCGTCTCCTGATCATTATTCTGGGTCAGACTTCCTTTGCATTTGAATCTACAGTCCTTAGGACATGAATCTTGGGCCTATTGTACTCAATATTGGAACTTACATAAAAGGACAAGTAAAGGGAAAATGGCATGTATAGAAAAATAGCAATTTGCACATGAACTACTATCTGCCAGTTTGTGTAGTTGTTGGTGTGGAATGAAAAGAGATTGGGAACTTGATGAATCAAGAATTATTTGCAAATAGAACTTCCACTTAGGATTTCATAGACCAAATTTCAGCCATCATGTAGGATTTCACTTGGGAAAGAACTGATGTAATTTGCCTTCACAGTGTGACAGTACCTCTCTGGACAAATGCTCATAAGCTGTTCCCGTGAAGGTATTAACAAATGACACTCAAATACTTTGGTGATTTATATGATCAGAAATTTAGAATAATTTCTTTAACTTAAATATAAAAAAACAAGATGGTATTAAGTGGTTACATTCTGGGTGCCGAAAAATATGGCTTTCCCCGTTTGTCCTCGTGTGACTGATGCCAAGCTGAACTATATCAGTCTCCTCTTTTTCCTACATAGATTAGTCCAATAATAGTTTGGCCTTAATGAGCCTCCTTGGCTCTCTCTTTACTGGTCTTCTCATGACCATAGGCCGAAAGACCTGGCCATCATTACATGATGCTGACTTGCTTTTTTGACATCCAAGTCCATAGCACTGATCAGGTAACCAGTGCATTAAATGTGTAGGGATATTCGTAAGTAACATTGAGACATCTGTTGTCGGCTCCCTTTAAATAACATTTTTCCCATTGATGTTGGGCTCTGATGTCATCCAAAGGGGTCTGTTTTCACTATAACCACCTTAGGCATTTTTCCATCTTCCAAATATTACTTAAAATGCCTTCAAAACTTATTGTCTTATATTTAATTTCTTCAAGGTTCAGATTTCTTATTTTACTGTTATAATGACAGATGATCTTTGTCCTATTATTGATGAGTATCATTTATCTGATCATGTCCTTCTGTTGCGAAATATCAATTGCAAGGCCAGATCAACTTTTACAAGTGGGCTTGAGGGCTCTGAGACTTCAGTTCCTATGCAGTGTAATCAATAGGCTGTAGAGTAAAATTATCCTCATTAAAATACAAGAAAGCAATAAATGAATCCATGATGATAGTATGCTAAGGTTAATTTATTATTCCTTCTAGATATAGTATTATTATTTGCCTAGAGGAATTTAAAAAAACAGTCCCTAAAAGGATATGCTCAAAACCTCCATGAGGACATTCAGTGAAGGAGACTTGTTCATGCCCCTCAAAATATAACAAATTGGCAGCTATTTATTCTACCTCCCTTTGAGCAAAATTGATTTTCACAAAATTGACACTTATTGAACAGAATCACAATTGAACTATAATTGAACCAACATATATTTACATGTAGAAAAGTTCTACTGTGCCCAGACATCAAACAGGCAACACAGGTCCAAGTCACAGACACCTGCAATCTTGCATTAGTCTCTTGATCATTTCCTGCAGAATTTAAGTGTGCCATTTGCCCAGAACCCACGTCTCCTTAGAGGTCCAGCTTTACTACCTTCTGGGCATCTCTACAGCCTTTCCTCCAACCTAACCAACCTGCAATGTAGCTGGGATGACAAAGCTGGAACAGTCCTTATTCAGTGTCCCCTGCATCAACAAGGGAAGTTTTCTGCGTGGGGAAAAGATGTTTAAAGTAATACCCTCAATCTAAACCTGTTCTTACTTACCCTCGGAAGGCAGATTCACCATTAGAAAATGTGGCTGAAGTCATAACCAAGATAAAATGGGGTAAACCACAACACCACATGGGCTCTTCCTGTCCTGACCAATTTCAACAAAGGTGATCACATAGTCCTTGGCCTAAGCAACCAGCTTAGGGATAAGGCCTTTTTACATTATATTCCATGCAGACTCTAGAGATGGTAAAAGGAATTTAAGGCTTTGGAAGAACTGGGTGAGCCAAATTAATGTTTTGAGGATCAGAGAATTCAGGGAAATCTATGCATTGACTCTCTCCCATGTTGCCAGGCAAACTGGAATTCCTTTTAGCTATAACGTAGGGCTCATTCATTTTGAAATTACAGATTTCAACTAGTATACTCCCAATCAATGATACTTTTACAAATATTAATTAGTTTCCCAATTTCTCTCCATTCCTTTTGCTGGAGGTAATGATCTACTTAGTGGTTTTTAAGTACTATAATCTCTTTATTTAAAGAAAAAAATCACAAAATTATATTATAACCTGGATTTATTTGCCTTCCCAGCCTACTGCCACTAAATTCTGTTTAATATGAGTTGAAATCGCTAGGTTTGACAGGTATGGTTTTCTCATCAAGGACTTGAAAAGCACTGTATCCCTTCTAAAGTGCCGAGGCAGCAGTAATGAGCCCAGAGCTCTGCACAACCAACTGTGACCTGCAACCACTGAGAGCAATAAAAAGCTGAGTTCCTACCTCGGTGACTGGTGAGTTCCCTGGAAGCAGAAGGCAGGGGTGTGTACTGGCACTCTGGAGAGGTAGCAATGCTGTCACTTGAAGCCTGTGTGATAAAAGCAAATGTCAACATGAAGCAACAACAAACACTAAATACCTTCATTTACCAAACCCGTCTCCTTGGGATCTGGGTTAGGAGAAAATATTATTGACCGAGAATCTTCTCAGAAAACAAGAGTTGTCTGTGTTGAGATAATATTCTGGTAAAAGTAGAGTAGAATACAAAGCTTTGAGGGGTCTTGGTACAGGTGGAAGGGCTCTGAGACAAGGAGACGGTTTGTTTATTGCGCAAAACTGAGAGAAGAAGGAGGAGGAAAAGAGAGAGGTTGAAGGCAGGAAACGGTGCAGAGTTTGATTTCTGTCACAGGCCTTCTTCCAGTAATTCCCACAGATTAAATGCTCACTGTGATTACACTTCTACAGAAACCAGTGAAAAGGCTGAGGTTCCCCCCAGGGTAGATGGGGAAAACAGGGCTGGTTCATGTGGGCCCAGTGGCACAGACACAGAAAGAACTTGAAGACCGAGGCTCAGCAGCATGAAGCAACAGAATGATATAAACTATTGCAGACCGTGCAATTGGGTTCTAAGTTTAACGATAGCACTGAGAAACCCATCTGAAATTTGAAATATATGTAATGGTTACCAAGAAAACTTTACCATTCCAAGACCGAAAAGAAAATGATATGAAATATATCTATGGAGATGCTTTTTTATGGTATATAAACAGCTCTTTAACCATCAAACTGTATATGGTATGACCCAGGCTGCTAACCCTCCCTTTTCCTAACTCTACCTCCATGGGGGCTAAGGCAGGAACAAAGGAGTACGGCTGTGGAGTCAGTTGGTCAGTTATCACTCAGAACCGATGACTGGTATGTCACATTCAGAGTGTGGCTCCTCACAGCAAGAAGTAGCACCACTGCAATTCTTACTGAGACTTCTAAATCAAATGCTACTTTTTTTTTTTTTAATATCCAAAAAAGAACATCTGCTAGGATCAAAATCCTAAGCTTACAACATTTCCAAGCTTCATGAAAAAGTAAATTTCATTAATGCTACATTTTTCTTTCTGGAATAGGAAATACATTCTATGGGATATATTTGCCCTGCTAGGAGCAGGCCTTTTCTCCAAAGAGATTATCTACATTATAGGAATCAAAACTAAGAAGGAGATTAGACCTACTTGCTGGAAAAACCCTTTAAACTCTGTTTCTGACATTTGAGATGTTTGATTAAGCAGCTTTCAGGGATGATTTATAGAAAGAGTTCTGAATGGTGCAAAATCAGAAGCTCTGTCCCTAAGGTAGAGACAGATTTCAGGTAGTATTACTTCACTCCAGCTCCAGGGGAAATATATGGTGTTTAAAGCTTGATCCAAGGGTATTGGGTCCACAAAGATAAAAAGTTCAATCACCAAGAAAAATGTTTAAAAAGTAGATAAAACTTGCTAGATACTACATCATTAGACATTTAGGATGCCGCAACAGAAATTAGATTAAAATTTAAATACTAGAGTCACCACCTGTTTCTCCATTTGGCATTCAAGGTCTCCTGTAATCCCTACATGACAAATGAGACACAATGACAGTGTTCTAAATATGGCATCTATCCAATGCTCGAGGCAGGATATATGGGGTGAGGGCATGGGGGTCATCCTTCCATAGATCTACTGTATTTCCTCCATAAGAGGCCTTAGCTTCTCTCTCTGCCAATGTTTCTGCTCCAGCTCATTGCTAAAAAAGCCTAAAATTCCAACATGAGTTTTAGGTTGCTATATTGTGATATTTCTTAGTACATTCAATCTCAATTTAGGCTGTTGACAATTTGATGACAGCTTTTCCTAAAATTAGTGGAAGAAACTACCTTTCAGCAAATACCTCTGACTGGGCAAAATATTAGAGTTTTGTAACCAAGGATAAAATAGCTATTTAGTTTTATTTCCAATTGTAGCCAAAGCAGAAATTGTGCGGTTTGAGTTCTGTTTTGCAGTCATCATTCGACGCCTTAGCATTTAATTGGTTTTATGCTCAGTGTCCATTTACAGATACAAATCATGGAAAAGAACCATTTTGCAAACTATGCCTTTTGGTGAGACTTCCATGGCTAGACATTTAGGAAAACTACTATAAATCAAGATTCTCACTACCAGTTCTTTGACTTGGCTTTTCTCAAAATGAAGCCCATGTGATCTTTTCAATAGTGATTACACACTTGCTCTCTGAATATTATGCTGAGAAGCATGATTCAGAAAAGTGCAGTTATCATATGGAAAAAGCGGACAAGACAATGTCTTAAATTTGCATTCTACCTGCCCAGGAATGAAGAATTCCCCCTTGAAACTGAAACAGTAACCCATGGTATATCAAGTATGAGATAACAGAAACATAAGTAGAAAAATTTAATATTTAAATAAAAATTTAAACAATGTTTTCTTTTACCTGGACTAAGAAGATATGCCTAAAATGAGAATAGGGAAATCTGTGTAAATCTGAATCATCAGAACTACAAATTTGGGTAAGTCTGGATCATCAGAACTATAAGTATTCTCAACTCTTTGAGTCCTGTCAAATTTCCTAGCTACCTATGGCAAAGAATTATACTGTTACATTTTACTTTTTAAATCACTTCTGTTAGAAGATATGTGTACCATCTACAATAAAATATTACTAACCAGAATATATATGTCCATAAATAAATATAAACATAATAGAAAAATAGACAAAGGAAATATCAGGCAATTTTAATAAATATTTGGTCAATAAGTAAAAGAGAAGATGATGAAATTTACTAGTCCTCAGGGCAATGCAAATTAAAACAACAAGGTACAATTTTTCTATCCATCACATTTGCTAACTTTTTTAAGTCTCACAATAACAAGCACTATAGAGAATGAAAGGAAACAAAACTCTTATTCTCTCATCTCTTGCCAGTGGGAACATACATTGGTTCAACTACTTGGGAGACCAATTTAGCAATAGCCAATAAAATTAAAAATTGGTATAGCAATTCCACTTAAAACATATACACTATGGAAAATTTCACTCAGATCTCTAAGGTGGAACATAAAACAATGATTATCGCAGCATTATTTGTAATAGAACAAGTTAGAAATAATTCAAATGTCTGTCTATGAAGAAAATGGATAAATAAAATGTTATACATTCATACGATGCAATAATATTTAGCAATGAACCTGATTTATATATCTCAATTTGAATAGATCTAAAACTTTAATACAGAGTGAAAATGCAAGTTGCAAAATAATAAATGTAGTATATTATTTACGTAAATGTATAGTACTTTGATCATGTGTGTATGATACCATGTAAAAGTTATATAAGTTGTACACTAAATTCACAAAAAAGGTTGCCTCTTCCAAAGGACAGAGTAATAGGACTGGGGCTAATGGAATGGGGGGAGCTCCAATTTATGTATAAGGTTTATGTCTTTTATTTAAAGAGAAGACTTAAAGTCAAAATATTAGAACATACAAATCCTGTATGGTAATTATAAGTGCTCACTATTTTTTAATTTTTCTACATTTTTGAAATTTCTCCAAATTAACCCTGAAAACTGAAAAAAACAAAGACTCTTCTTTCCTCTCTGATCCATGTAGTCCTATATTGATACAAACTCATAATTAGAGGAAATTTTCTATAACAATTTTCTAGTTCTTGCATGACATGGATTAAGGCCATTTCTGGTTGGCTTTTTGTGATGAAATACCCCATTTCTGTTTCTTCTAAAGCTACTGAGTATGACAATAGAGTGGAAAAAGTTGATAAAAAATAGTAAATATGTATCTCCTTCACATCAAGACTTGAACTGCTCATTCGAGCCTGGTAAGTTTTCCTATTTAAGATCTGTCAAAGCATACTGAAGGTTTCTGCACTCCTCTACAGCTCACAATTGGAGAGCTGCTAATAATTTTTTAAACTCACAACAATAAAGATAATAGTCACTAATATACTGCACTCTGCAATTTCCATAGTCCATGAAGGAAGGCAGAACTTTGGCAACTTCATTGGAAAGGAGTCAATGAAAGTACAATCCACTCTACAAGAGACTTGCAAACTGAGGATTTTACTCGTGGTTACAGAAAACAAATGTCTTCAGATGAATGTATAAAATTCAAGCCCCTTCCCATTGGATGCATTCAATGGAAACGTGCATTCCAGTGGATATTTCTGCACATCATGAATGCCCTGAAGGAACATGAAAAAGACCACAGGAGGAGAGATTTGGCAGGCTTCAAAACAAGAAGGGGGTTGCTACAAAGTTGTTTAATAGCCATAAATCTCCCACTATTTTTCACAAAATACCATCTAAGACCACAGCTCCACAACTCTTTCCCCATTGCTCAGCTCAAGTGGAGCGCTCTGGCATGCTCACTCACCCCTAAATCATACACCACATAAAGTGATCCCAGGTCTGGGAAATTTGTCAGCCTCTTTCAAGTAAAAGCAACCTTCACCTTTCATCACAATTCATTCCCTGAAACTGCAGTATAAAGCTGACTCTTCTAAAAACATTTATTTTCTCTCATAAGAAAAAGCATCACTCATTTAGTTATCCAATGTTTAATAATCATCTATTATATGCCAGGCCCTGTGCTGAGAATACCAAGAAAAATAAAATGAGGACCTTGGTTGCATTCCCAACTCATCACGAAAAAATTATAACCATGACTAATACTGGTTATTAAGAGTCACTAAGTCATAGCATGACCTCTATACTCTGCATTATCACAGAACTTTGTCCCTGACCTCTATTATGACACTTGAACACATGGAACAGTAATTATACCCTTGCTTGTTTCTTATTCATAGTAACAGAGAACTTTCAAGATGAACTTTCCAAGATTAACTATAGTATTAAGCCTTGTATCCAACACACTGTCAGAAGTCAAAGAGGAAGAAAGGAAGGCAGAAGTCAACGCATGATGCCTGAATGAATAAAACATTTTAATGTCAAAGATAAAACTATGTACTACAATTGTAATTGAACACAAAAGTCTGAGCCAAATTGCCAGAGTCAGAAGTAAA